ACTGAGATCATCCCAAATTTTGGGCTCCTGGCTTCCCTACAGCCAGATAATGGATTAGAATTTACCTCTCAGATTTCTCAACACCTGACAAAAATCTCTTAATATAAGTTGTCATTTTCATATCACCCCCTATCATCGGGAAAAGTAGAAAGAGTGAGCAGGATTCTTAAAAATACACTCACTAAGCTTACTGCACAAACTCAATAGCACTGGGTCCACCTTCTACCCTTAGCCCTCCTCAAGTTAAGAGCTCTCCCTTGAAAACCGCATAGGCTGAGCTCCTTTGAATTGCTGTATGGAAGCCCTTCACCATCAGATGTTGGATTCAACTTCTGACTGGACCAGAATCCCTCATCTCTCAGTCCCCTACTTGCATCCCTAACTAAATGCAACTCACTGTGGTTCTATACTGAATTTCAAATCCTGCAATCTGTCCCACTGCCTGAAGAGTTCAAACCTTCCTTCACACAGGAAGACTGGATTTATATATGGTTATCATTAGACTCCTGTTGCCCCTAATAGGTTGGATCCCATCAAATAATTCTCACGACTTCTATAGCAGCGAAACCTAAGGGCTTTCCACATTGGGTACACTTCTCTACCCTACAGCTGGCTAAACCTCCCCTTGGCTGATCTCCTACAGGGCCCACTTCAATCAAGATCTCATGCCTGCCTCAAAAGGTAGTAAGGACTCCACTAAAGAGTGGCTTTTTCCCTAATCTCTTACAAAATATTCCTTAATATTCTGGCCTAGGAACTACCATCTTATTCCCCGCCTCCAAAGTGACCTTTTGGAGATTCTCTGTGATCTCTGGCTTCAATTATCCTTCTGTGAGCTCACATCCATTCAAATAGAGTTTTGTGTGTGCGTGTGTGTGTGTGTGTGTGTGTGTGTGCGCGCGTGCACTCACACATGCGCTCCCCTATTCTATTTTCTTAAAGTCCATGTTATACAGTACCAATGTTTTAATTCTGTTCTAGATCAAAAGGCTACTGTCAGGAGACTGACAACAAAAATGAGACTGGATGATTGATACCAGCATGTGACAGGCACTGGATCATCTATTTACTTTTTAATTGGCTGATTGGAATAACTGTGGCAAATAATATCCTATCAGAGCCCTTCTGGGACCACTGTGGGTATGTGTAGAAGTCTCTGCTGATGCTGAGGGAGGTTTCCCTTTGGTATCTTACTCATGCTGCCAACAAAATTGGATAGCTTTGTCTCCCTGAAGTTTGTAGGGTCCTGAGTGGGATGACAACCATCAAGCTGTCAAAAACCTGCTCCAATGAGGTAATATAGGGGGACCACTCTTGCAACACACTGTCCCTACTGGCTGGGAGGGTGTAGTGTCCTAATACATTAACATGTGGAGCCTGGCTGTGCGATGTGTTGAGCAACATTCTAACTTCAACCGCATAGTGGAATCAATACCTAAACATCTGTGTCTCAGTGTCACTGTGTCACTATGCCCAGTGTCTGGTGGATGGAGAAAAATACATTGGAATGGTACCCACAGAACAGGGTTCCTGGGGGATATTTATGTGTGTATGGTTGATGTGTGTGGCCATATTTACCTGCCAGGTAGGCAGGATGTTGCACCTGGGGGCAGTGTCCTTATATTCCTGATTATATTCTCTCCTCCTAGAACTGAGACATGGTACACCAACAGTGCTGTTACTCTGCAATAGGAAATTTTCAGCTCCTTGATAATCTGATGGGACTACTGTTCAATCTGTTGCTGATTGAAGGAAGCATCATTATGTGTGTTTCAAAGTGTTCACACTCATTGATAATCCCAGCATCAGTGGAGAATCTGTCTTTCCTCATGTTTTTTGCCAGTATTTGACACTGCTAGAGTTTAAGCTATTTTTCATTCTGATGAGTGTTACATTGAATTGTTTTACTTTTCACTTCCCTGATGATTAGTGTGGTTAAGTATCCTCTATATTTTAAATTTGTTATTGACCTGGCTTCTTCTGTGAATTGACTATCTGTTTTGTTTTTCTAATTACTTTTTAAAAATGGAATCAGGGGTTGGTGGTGCAGGGCTATAATACCAGAGCTCTGGGAGGCTGAGGCAGGGGGATCATAAATTCAAGATCAGCCTAGGTGACTTAGCAAGGACCTTGTCTCAAAACAAAAGGGCTAGGAATGTAGTTCAGTACAATAGCCCAGGATCCAATCCCTAGAACCATAAATAAAGAAGCTATAAGATTAAAATTATATGTATTCTTAATATTAACCCTTTTCCTATTATTTATAGTATTTTTATTGCACAAAAAATTAATAGCCAAATTTCACTTTTTTCTTTAAATGTATTTTCTTTGTCTTACTAAACAATCCCTAGATTATAGATATGTATTCTACATTTTTTTTTAGAAATTTTGTTTTTCACTTTGTGTCACTATGTAGTTGAGACTGACCTGGAACTCACTATGTAGCTCAGGCTGGTCTCGAGCCTCCTGCCTCCGCCTCTGAGTGCTGGGATTACAGGCGTGCACCACCACACCTGGCACTGTTGTCACTTTTTGGTAAATACATAGTTTATTAATTTTTTAGTCTTTCCTTTTTTAATAAAGTAAATGAAAACAGGAATATATTTTCCCTGAATGAAAAAATCCTGCAACATAGTTTATAGTAAAAATTTGCAGAAGGAAATATAGTATCATATCATCAGTCACTGAAATCTGGTAGTAACTAAAGGCATACATTTCAGGAGCATTTACTCAAGTTGTCCAGGGAATGGATGTACTCATATGAGGTTTGGAGTCAGCTGAATTTGAGTTATCATTTTGAGCTCTGTAACTTAAAACATGGCACTATCTACATCTCATTGTCTTTACAGAATTGTTTGCATTTTAATGCTGAGTATGACTAAATGAGATTAAATAACACAAAAGCACTAAGCACAGTTTGTGGTAGTTAAGGGCATTCAGTAAGTGTTGGTTTCCATCTTCCATTCTTGACACCTTCCTGAGGTCATTCCTCACAATATTATTTTTCTAGTCTCTGGTTGTACCACTTAAGCCATGTCCTCCTCCCTTACTATCATCTTTTAGAAAGTGAGAGAATACTTTCTGCCTTTTATTTTTAGTAAGAGCCTTCTGTATAAACCAAGCAAATATATGTCATGATGGGACAACATAAGACAAATTCATTTTGAGATCTATATATTTTTAAACACTGATGTTCATTTTAAAAGCATATTGACATCTAAAATTTATTTCCTCATTTTAAAATAGTTTAATGGGATTGTTTTTTGAGAATTACTGAATTATTTTCTATCATAGCATAGTAAAATTTTCTTCCCTAACTCTAATAATTCTTCAATATGAATCTTATGATCATTTATACAGATTAATGAAGATGGCTATAATTTAATTAGAGCCATAATTTATTTTTATGTTTTATGTTCTGTAAGTGCCTTTAATATTTAATTGGACATTAAATACAAGAGACTTGCTGAATTTCTTTACCCCAATCAGTGTGAATATCTATTAAGCATACAATAATAAAAATGATTATTTGTAATTCACTTCTCTATTTATAAAACACTTCTAATAATATCTTATTAAGTCTTCCCTGTCATACTCTGAGGTAAGAATTATTGTCAGAATTTTCATAGGAAAGAAAGTAGCCTTTTTTGTTTGTTTGTTTGTTTGTTTTTAGAAAGTAGTCTTGAAAGGTGAATTTGACCCAAGCTTACAGGATGCTTATGCAAAGTTGGTATTCCTACTGTGCCTTGTTTTTCTTACTATACATTATTTATTTTAATGTGTTAATTGTCCAGTGTATACTTCAAGTTCAAATTTTAAATGTGACTTTAAGTGATTTGTTGGACCTTAAGATAATTTGCTTTAAGGTATTTATTTTATTAATCTAAAACACAAATATATTATTGGACTTAAGAGCGACTGTATATTTAGTAGCTTAGTGATAAGGTGAAATACACATAGGCACACAGACTCCTTGAAAACAATGAATTTATACTTGGAGACAAGGGGGACTTTATATATTCAAGATGTTATGTAAAGATATTCCAAAGATTGAGGATGTCAGACTAAGGGAAACAGTCACAGAAGGACAAATATTGTATGCTTCTGCTTGCATAAAGAAGAGCTATTTATGAGAGGGGAGCTTCAGTTTAAAAAGAGGAAAAGGGCTCTGGAGACGAAGAGTGGTGATGGTGCCAAACAATGTAAACGTACATAATGCCACAAAACTGTACGTTAAAGTGGTTAAGACCATGAATTTTATGTAATATGTATTTCACCACAAACAAAAAGAGATATCACATCAAAGGTTTCCAACTTTTTGCACATATGGATTTACCATGCACTTAGTTTTTATAATGCTCTTTTCTATACTAACAGTGCATATTGAAATTTTCAAGGCCTTTTACACATTTTAAAGTCTATGTAGGGTGCCATTCTCTTCTATGAAAAGGTGCAAGGGTTTCGTCTGGTTTTCATATGTAGAGATGGAACCAGAGGGGCACATGAGTTAGATGGAACAGCCTGTGCAAAAGTACAGGTGGGAGGGCCTGGCCACCATTCCAGCCTCCGAGGACACGAGGGAGGAGACACTGCCAGCCACAGCCCAGTCAGTGCAGGGCCAGCAGCACACACTGTGGTGCTTAGGATTTTCCTACAGCTGATGCGGAATGAACAGAGCATTTCAATTTGTGCTGAGCAAAGTGACTCTAATCCCAGTGTGAAGGGCAGATTGGGGAGAAGCAGACTGGGGCAGGAAAAGGGTTTTGGAACAGCACAGAGTGTGAGCTCCAACAGTGGGGACAGGAGAGTAAAGAGGCCTGGAACTCAGACACAGGGCAGAGAATCAGTGGAACGTGTGACTTACTTTTGGTTTAAAAAATGAGAGTTATGCAAAGTCATGGAAATAAAGACAACCAATACAATGAAAAATAATCTGGTAACTACTGCTACCATATTATTCTAGTGTACACCCAGCCAACTTCTGGAACAAAAATTCTTACCTTAGGTCTTCAAATGGGTCAGCTCTGACAAGAGGGGTCTCCACTGAGTGTTCGAAAAGAGCCCCTCCAGGCCCTAAAGGAATATCAGGTTGAATAAGAAACAAAAGTAAAATAAATGACATCAGACATATTGAACATTCCTGATCTGAAATCCAAACTGCTCCAGAATCTGAAACTTTTTGAGGACTGACTCGACAACACAAATAGAAAATTGCACACTTCACCTCTTGTGATGTACTCAAAATGCTGGTGTGCTAAATATTGCCTGAAGTTTCCTGCAAGCTATATGTGTAATGTGTATTTGAAGTATAAATGAATTTTGTCTTTAGACATAGATCCTCTCCCTAAGTTATTTCATTATTCAGATCTAGATAACCCCCCCAAAATCCAAAACTTGAAACATTACTGGCCTCAAACATTTCAGGTAAGAGATACTCAACTTTTAGATTTTAAATTTCATTGCTGAGTTTGGGCCCATGTTCCAGTTCAGGAAACAAAAAGGGGACAGCTGCTTTTCTACTTCTCTGGTGTGATCACAATATCTTACCAAACAAATAAGATTTGCAAAGCTTTCACAAATTAGTGGGTTTTCTTTAAAATTAGAGAGAAACATTAGCCGTGAAACTGAAAAAGGAATAATTCCCATTGAAAGTCATGTACATCTATATAGTTCAGGAAATATGACTTTTTAGCTTTTATGTGTAAAAATATGTCTTGTGCCGTTTGTTTCTAAGGCACCTCAGAAATAAAAATTTTAAACCTAAACCTTTAAAGTAGACCTTCTAATTTCTAGGAATCAGTATGTTCCTATTTATTAGCTTGAGAACTTCATTTTAAGAGAGGCAACCTGTCGTATGGTTTCAGAAATACACAGAGAAAAGTGACATACTGCTTGTAATAGCCTAACATTTATGGCTGCAGTTTTAATTTAGAGGCCTCATTTTAAATCTGTATGCTACAGATTTCTTTGTACATAAGTAACAAACAATATATGGCAGAAAGCAATGCACCAGTAGCAAAAGGCAACTAAATTGAGTGGCATCAGCAGAGAAGAATTATTTTAGGGCAGCATGGAAAACTTTCTACAGTAAAATGCAGTTAGAATTAACCTAAAAATAGACATTTATAAACATAGGCGATTGAGCACAAAGGATTTCAAGGAGAACAGGAGTCCAGGGAAAGGAAAATGTGAAGAGAGCTTATAGATGAATAACTAGTCCTGTTTACAGGAAATACAGGGACTCAACACAGAAGGACAGATTTATTGTTCGTATAATATTTAAAAATATTTCTCTTAAATTTATGGGCATACACATAAGTAGCACTGCATTGTCTAGTACACCCATCCTGATTTACCAGCCTGGCCGAGACCCTACCCCTTACATAGACCCCTCCTGTATAAATTCCACTCCCTATTTTTGGCCCCACCCTGTTTATTCCCACCCCTAGCTTGGGGTAGGGGCTGCAGTTCATGAATTCTCCCCCTTTTGATTCCACAATGTTGTCAGAACTCATCCTCACACCGTGAAGACTTTCCTGTTTTGGTAATACTGAAATGTTTATTTCCTATTCTACCCTTGTATTAGTTTTGATATCAGACACTGAAGAAAAAATTGCCCAGGTGAAAGTTTCTCAGAAACTAGATTGATAAGTCATCACCCCGGGCCAAGGCCTTGTCACCGGCTCTTACTAAGGGAATGTTTCATTAGCTTGCTCATTTTCTCCACTGGGCTGTTGACTATATTACTAGGGAAGTCACTGCTTCCTTCGTAACTCTGAATATGACAGAAACACGGCAAGTCCTCAGTTGAGAAACAAGAGCTTGTGGCACATACATAAAAGAGACTTACATCAGCACAAGATAAAAATTTAAAACCACAACCAGATTTAGTAGCATGATTACATAAATGCTATCATCACCTAAAATAAAGGAACAGACATAAGTGAAGGTTTATGGTTCATGAAAATTATATTATAATTCATGGAAATTATATTCAGATGAGAAACAGATCCTCCTATATCCTATAACAAGTTGCATCTTCTTAAAATACCACTTAGGCAAAACTAAATGATAATGGGGACATTATGTAAAGTAAGGCTATACTAAGCTTTGGAGTTTTCACAATAAATTGTGTCAGTCAATTTTACAGTACAGTGTGTGATTTTGTCTAAAGTATAGACAGCTTTCTGTGTTTGGTGTAGAATGGGAAGTAGTTTAACTAAGTAATTTGCATGATACTTATTTCTTCTTTATCTTTTTCTTCCCCCTCCTCTTCCTGATTTGCAAAACATAAAAGGAAGTATAAAGAAAAATGTACCAGAAGTCAATTAGGCCAAATAGAGATATGCTTAGTCTTACATGACAAAAATTGTGGTTTATATAGTATTGTTTGAAACATGAGTATTGTTTCATTATGAGAAACCTAAGATGAGTGTTATAAATACAGATGGTCCTCAACTTCAGGGTCTCTTCATGGGATTTCTTGAATTTATGGTAATGTGAAAGTGCTATGCATTCAGTAAAACAATATTTGAGTTTGGATCATTTTGGGCTAATGATACATAGTCCAATCCTCTCTGTTGCCCAGCTCTGAGCTGTGGTATCCCTGTGCAGCTCTCACTCTGTCAGGCCATATCATATGTAAAACAGGCATGTGTTACATAGATGTGTTAGCCTAACTACAGGCTAATATGCACGTCCTGAGCAAGCTTAAAGTGAGCTAAATAAAACTATGATGTTTGGTGGGGTAGGTGTATTAAATGCATTTTAACTTGCAATATTCCCAATTGAAATAGGCTTCTCAGGATATTAACTCTACTTTAAATCAAGGAACACCTGTAATAAAAAAACTAATGAATGATTTTTTTCATAACTAACAGACACAGATGGAATGTGAGTTATACACTTTTGTGTGATTTATCTCTTTTTATATAAGCAAAATGATGAGTTAAACGAGAAAAGAAGTGTCAACTTATTTACTCTCTACAAACACACACCTTTGCAAAACCAAGCTCAAAATTCTAGTGTATTCCAGCTGCACAGGCAGGTTTTTTCTGAGGGTGGTCACAAGACTTCACATATGGTAGGCAAGAGCTCTACCGCTGAACTACACCACAGCCTTATGTAAGCAATTTTTATTTAAGGACAGCTTCAATTATTTTTCCCTTATGAGCTGAAATTATTCAGTGCCAGTGGCTCCACTGCATAGAGAAAAGTATCTAAGTCATTAGTTTTTACGTACATGCCATTGCCTTCTTATATGACCATAATTAATGAAATTATATTTTCATGTGATTATGGCTATGTAATTATAGGCAGATATAAAATCCATATACTGACATGTATTATCTTTTAGTAGGAACAGCAGTTTCTCTGTTGATAAAACATAAATGTTCATATTATATGATCTTGACTATATCATTATCATTCAGTCTCAAAGTAAATGCCCCTTAGAATTTATTTGCATATAGTAACATGGATTTTTCTGAATGGTTTCATAAAGTGATTCTCAGTAAGTGGTTGTTGATCTTCAGTGTAACCATGTTTTTTTTATGTTTGCATTTTTTATTATAAAAAATATAGTTGACATAGTACTCATTCCTTGTGGAAAAAATAACATATTATTTAAGGTTATATGATCTAAATTTTATGTAGAAAAAAATAGTTCCATCATAAAATATTATATCAACCAGCATTTAAACAACCCTGAATAAACTATGTATTATTGACACAGGCAATTATGATTAAAAAGGAACAAAAAATGGAAAGCACAGTCTTATAGTGTCAACCTTAAAAAATTGTAAGAATATGTCATCAGGACTGGACAACAGTATTTGGTGTCGTTGTTTCTACTTGGACATAGTAGTGTTAAGGACACTACTCTCCACCTCTGGATCCCAGAGCATCCTGGGATGAATGACACTCATGTGAAGAGCTGTGGTAGGAATGTGGTACAGGTACTGGATTGGTTGGAAAGGGTGGAGTGGGCAGGTAAAGGCTTGGGGAATAGTGTCAGGCAGTCATGCACAGAGCCTAACAGTGATCAGAGATGGCTCTGCGTTGATCAATTCTTCCCAACGTGCTGTTATCTCTAGGTTCCTTCTCAGAATCTAGTATTAGTACTACCACCGTGGATAGCAAATGCTGAGACTTTATTAGGTTTTGGTGTCCACAGTGGTAATCTTTATCAAGGTTAACTCCACACATTTATTTGTTTGGTTTATTTTTCTTTTCTTTTTCTTTTTTGGTTCCGGAGATCAAACTCCGGACCTTGCTCTTGAAAGGCAGGCAGGCGGTAGAACCGCTGAGTGAAATCCCTGGTCCAACTCCACACATGTACTGAACACTGATGGTCTGGTAAAGGGTTTTCAGATGAGGCAAAACTTGCTGAACTTCCAGCGTCTCTACTACTTTCCCTTCTGGACATGCGATGACCTCTTGCCTTTCATTACTCCAGTGAAAATGCTCTTGTTTAGACAACAATGGCATCTATGATGGTAAATCCAAGGACAATTTCTGTTCTCTTTCAGGGATGCAAATTCTGAACATATGGTCTCTCTGGACATCAGGAAAAGGGCTCCTGAGATGCTCCACCCCCACGGTGACTCTCCAGTGTTCACTCTGCTTTGATAAGATATGTTTTGAGTAATAAATACAAACAAAACGGCAAGACCAGTTTTTTGAGTCAAGAGGACAGGTACAAGTTAGGAGTGTAAATTAAGAGCACCTCCACCCCTCCTCTCCAGCCTTGTGCTTGGGGCCTTCTGTGCAACATAATAGAGGAGGAGAAAGCAGAGCATTTGCTTTTCTTTCCTGTCCCTGGAGTGTGGCTGCCATTATCTCTTCTTTTGCTCCTCTCCCTGCTTTTATTTAGTTGATTTGAAAAGTTCCAAAGGCAATGTGGAATATCCATTTAAAATAGGACTAAATTTTCACAGGAAGTAGTTTTAATAGGAAATTATTTTGAAAAATCAAAATTCATAAAAACTGCAATGTATTTTCTATGAACAAAACAGTCATAATTGTAGTTACTATGAAATCATATAGAATAAACAAAGTTTTTTTGATGTTGCTGTTTTGTTTTTTTGTTCTTTGAGACAGGGTCTCACTATGTAGTTGAGACTGACCTGGAACTCACTATGTAGTCCAGGCTGGTCTCAAACTCACAGCAATCCTCCTGCCTCAGCCTCCTGAGTGCTGGGATTACAGGCGTGCACCACCATGCCCTGCGAGTTTTGGTTTTTTTTAAATGCATTTTTAAAACATGGTTGGAAATGTATGATGGTTGTAATTAGTTTTCTATTTTTATGTTATAAATCATGTCAAACTTTGCTGCTTAAAACCACATCCATTTGTTAGCTCCAGGAAGCTTGTCTGGGTGTTAAGTGCAGAATCTTACGGGAGACTGTGGTAAAATGTGGTTTCCCAGTCCATTTTGGTGTTAGCAGAATTCAACTCTCAGATCTAAAGTCCACCACACTCTTTGTTACAGAGTCCCTCCATTTTTCTGAGAAGCAAAGTAGGGTATCATCCTTGCCCTCGAATCCCCAACTTACCCTTTTGCTCCCAGGCATGTAAAGAAAGGTCTGACTGGTCAGATTAGGCCACCCAGGTTATCTCCCCTTTGCCATGTAAATAACATAACCCAAAGAGACTCTTGGGCATTTTCACTCACAGGGCAGAAGCTTACACCTCAGGGTTCAGTGCCACTGGTGATAGCAGGGCACTGAGGGCGTCCTCTGTCATCATCCCAGTGTTATCGCTGTCTGAAGTGCCCATCACGTCGTGTTCACGGCTGATTCACACTGCATCAGGGGCTGCCAGGTCTAACTTTCCCGGTCTCCTCCTGTGAGTGGATTTGCCAGCAATCCCAGTATTTCTACACCACTTTGGACTTTCTGAAACTCTACATCTTTTGTAAGACCTGCAGTTTAATGTGACAAGCTATTTGCACTTGCTCTGTAGGATGCTTTGGGGCGTCCTACACCCAGTGAGGATGCAGAAGTGTGATGCCCTGAGGGCTGAAATGCTCACTCATGGTTACGCAGCTAGTACTGGAACTTCATCTGATTCGTTAAAGGTTACCTTTTGTTATTCTCAGCAATGTCTGTTAATATCCATTTGTACTTTGCACTGCATAGAGTAATGACCCTTATTTTTCTTCTTGATAAGCTTCTACCCATTTTTCTAGGACCAGTTTATGTGGCTCTTTCCCTGTGGAACCTTCCCTGAACCATGTGCTCTCTCTTCCTGCTACACTTGGCAAAACTGATGTTTGTCTCCAGGTTGCTCCTGGATTCCACTGCCCGGCCATCTTTTACTGCCTTTAGTGGGTTATACTTAGCAAATTAATTTTGTTTCCATCTCCCTGGCCAAAATGCAAACATCTTGTAAAAGAGATCATGTGCAATTACATTGTACCATAGGTACATAGTTTAATTATTAACACACAGTAAATCCTAAATAAATATTACTAAATTCCAGAGAAACAATAAATTTAGGGTAGGCCAGTGGTTCTGAAGTGGGAGTAATTTTGGTCCCTCCCCTAAGGGTTTTTTTTGCAATGAATGGAAATATTTTTGGTTTTCACAATGGCTGAAGGTAGGGACTATTAATGGCATTTAGTGGAGAGGAGCTGGTGATGCTGCTGAACAACCTGCAAACAACAGGTACTTCCACAGCCACACCAAAGACATCCACCCTGAATGCTCATAATGTTAACTCTGAAAAACATGAATTGGATGACATAGATATTCATGCCTTGGACAGATAAACAAAACAAGAAAAGGTAGAATTGTGGATTTTCTTGAATTTCTTTAATTACAAGATTTAGGGAAACCAGGAATTTTGAAAAACTGCGAAGAGGTGAAGTTCTACCTTTCACCACTTGTGGTTGCCATGCAAGAACTTTGTGTTATTGCAATGGCACAAAGACAAATAAGGAATAGTTGTTAGAGCTGGGGGTACAGTTTCTTTAATTAACTTCACAGGAGAGGAAGAGGACTGTGGGAGAATTTCGTGCTTTAGAACAACAACAAAAAAAATTTGAAAGAAACCTACAATTTGTTTTGTAGAAGGATAACTTGAGTGTACCTGGTAGAGAGAAGGTCTACATGTTGCTGACCTGTGTCTCCTGTTGATTCTGATCAAATTTGTGTAGGGCAGTGGTTCTCAAAGTGTGGTCCTCAGAACTGCAACACCAGCATCAACTGGGAATTTATTAGAAATGCAGATTCCTAAGACTCATTTCAGACCTACTGAAGCAGAAGATCTGAAGAGGAATGTCGTAGATATGAGTATAATACAGTAAGACCTTCAGGTGGTTCTGAAGCAGGCATGCGGGTGATAAATAACACAGTTGCCCATCACATTTCTTACCTATTCTACGAATGGTGCAATAGCCTGAATGGAAGTCTGGGGCAAAAGAAAGTCCATTTTCTGTGTGGATGGCTTGAGTATGAAGCAAACTAAGTTATTGCTTTGAGTGTTTGTCTTACAGATTTAATTATATCGCAGTGCAATGCTTTACCAAGAACTATGATATCCTTCACATATACTAATCCGCTTAATCTGGCAGTGACAGTAGAGTACACTTCCATCAGTCTACTCTTAAAAGAAGTGAGGAAATGTCCAACAGAGGCCAAGCAACTTGCCTGAAGTCATGCAGCTAAATCACTGAAGTACAAATAGAATCTAGATTGATGAAGCCCCTATGTCTTATACAGATGCTCCTTGACTCATGAGAGGCTTATGTCCTAAAAATCCCATTTTAAGTTGAAAATATCCAAAGTCAAAATGTGTAAGATGTACCTCACCTACCGATCATCTGACCTCAGCAGCTCAGCACCGAGTAGAATGTCAGTGTTTCTCTTGGGACTGACTAGAAACTGAGGTCCCTCTGCTACCACATTACGGGAAAGGATGGGACTATAACCATGAATCCAGGAAAAGATTAAAATTCAAATGTACTTTCAAGTATGTTTTCTACTGAGTGTATATTGCTTTTGCACTGTTGTAAAGTCTAAGAATTAAATTGAGTGATCCAAAGTCAGGGATAATCTCTTTTATGCACCAGTGGATTTCTGCTGCAAGAGACACTTGGGGTCTGTTGAGTTTTTATTTATTAAGCAATCAATAGTCAGTTTCTATGATTAGATTTCCTAGTGCCCTCATTTTAGTTAGAAAACCAGGCACAGTGCCTTAGAGTGAGTTGTTACTTAGATTATAGTTTTTAAATTTTTTTTTTGTTTTTAGGGAATTATATAAATTGCACAAAACTTTGTATTAGAGTTGAGTTTATTTCCTGAGCCAGAAAACTTTATTTTGTTTTTATTTGAGAATATTATGATGTGAATGAGTAATGTTGTTATTAATTTTCGGAACAGTATAGAAAAATGGTGGAATATATTCAGCAACTATTCATTTTTACAGAAGTTCAACAAGTAAAACTGGAAAATGTTCTAAATTTATTTCCTCTAAAATTTGTTTTTAGTCCTAAAAGGTAATGGTATGAGAACTCTGTTCCACTTTTAATTGAATAAGTTACATTATTTTTTAAATAGAAATGCAGAGAACCCAAGTGTTCACTACAGTTGGAATAAAAGAAAATTAGATACTTGAGTTGTAGAGATGAAGAAGAATGTATGATAATCCTTTGTATTACACCAATGGAAAGACATAAAGGGTATCAATGTGGCAGAAGAAAAGAGTGGGTAAAATACTCTTCGGCTAGAAGGGTATAAAAAGAATTTTTTAAAACGGCACAAAGAAAAGGTTGAAACATACCAGTTACTCGAAGCTTATCTGTACCAACCACAACTTCCTTTTCATCTACAGTAAATAGTGGCTTGCCATCTTTTGAGTTGATCTGAAACTGCTGATTCTGGACCTCCACCATTTTGGGACCTACAAGATCAATTAAAACATTTTATTACAAAGTGTTTACCATAAGCCATATTGTTGAAATGGCTATTTTCATACACGTTATATGATCTAGTAACTAAACATTGATGACTTGTTATCAATAGTTTTACTGATTTTCTGATTAAATTTTGCATGCTTTAAATTCACATCTATAAAAAAATTAATTTTCAAATATGTTAATCTCTATCAAATAGAGGTATAAATACATTACCTAAAAGTTAATTTTCTCATATTTTTAATACTTGATAAAAATAATATAGAAATTCCTCATTTTATGACCTACAGGCTTAACAATCATTTAGGCTTATGACCAAGCTGTGCTGCTTGGACTTATTATGAGCCTCCAGGACTTATGACACGGGAATGCGAGCAGCAGTACAGCTGCAAGGTGGCTTGTTCTATTGTACAGCACTGTAACTTTTGCTGACTGTACTGTACAGTACAGTATTGATTGTAGTTTTATGCTCTCTTATACATTACAGGGCTGCATGTAAGAGTTATGCAAATCAAAGCAAAGTCATCAAGTTGGAGTTTCCTTTGATCATTTCTTTGTTCCCAATATTGTACACACTCTATGCAATTCCTTATTTAGCAACCAATTCTTTTAACAACTACGTTGTGCAGGAATGTAGCTCAGTTGTTAAATGAGGAATGTCTATATAATGCTTCTACTCATAATGAAATTTGTATGCTTTTGAGTATTAACCAACTAAGGATTTTGCATGATGAAATGTGAGATTTGTGAAAAGAATCTTACAAATGGCTTCCTTGAGTGATCTTCCTTGAGTGAATCAGAGCCCGACTCTCCTGCTAGTATGCCCAGAAAAGAGCCCCACTTCCTTCTCATGGGCAAAACAAGCATTACCTAGAACACTCTTGTACTTTTGCCTTGTCCGAAAGATGTTTTTGTCTTCTTCATCCCTCCTATTTTGCTTTCATCTCCAAAACAATCCTTTCACCTGAACTCTAGGCTCAATGCCTTCCAACTTGTTAATTTATTCTGAAAATGATTAACTTGTGCCTGTTTAATGCCAGGTACTGAGGATACCATATCCTCACATATGTATGATGTCACCCCTCTCACTTCTCTGCTGTGCCATAAACTGATCCCAAGTGTTTATATTTATAAGATTTCTCCATTTCTCTTTGTGCTTCTAAACTTTCCTACTCAGGCAACAACATGAATTCACTGCTCTAGAATACAACTTTCCCATTTGCTAAAAAACTGCAAGATTTTCCTATTTATTTTTATGCTAGCAGTGTACACTTCAGAAAATGGGTCATATTTTGGAATTTTTGTCTGTGTACAACCAATGTCTCTTACAGCACTCATCAAAATTATTGCTACGTGGAGGAAACAATTCTTTTCAATTAGTGTTTTAATTGGTTTTCGACTTGATAACCAGAGTATTCTTACAAAATTTTACTAATTTATACTTTAAACCCCTCCAACGATTCTTAAATACACAAATAAATATTTTTGGTGAGAGAGGGAGTTAGAAACTTGAGCTCATTTTCCCCCATTTCGTTTCCCTTAAGAAAGCCTGTAGTTATTCTTTGATAATTGTATGAATTTTAATTTCTGTGAGACTTGGGTCATTGTTTTTTATTTCTTGGTCACTAACATATCTTAAATATTTATTACATAAATACTGATTTACTTTGAATCACAAATATCATGATATCTATCAAACTGAGGAAAGAATGGGCATTATTTCTCAATAATTAGTTCACTATTTTGTTGATTGAAGGTTCACATGCTAGATCTAGGGGGGTTTGTTAAGTCTAAGTGGTTAAGCTCATTCTTAAGTAGCTAATTTTTCTTATAACAATTATTTCATATACATGGATGAAATATTCAAAGACTCATCTATTTGCATACTAGTTACAAGTAGCAAAGCAATATGAACCCTTACTCAAAGAAAACACAAGAAAATGTGGTCTGTTCCAATTATACAAATCGTGGCATATTTTTATGCCTAAGACTGTGCTAGCTCACAACTCCAGGATTTTATAGTTCAGCAGAAAGAAAAGCAGGTAAGCCTGGTGTCAGGACAGTTAGGTGCTGTGAAAAGGCAGGGACAGCGTTTGATGGGAGTCCAAGCAAGGGAAACATTTGTCCTCTAAAGTCAAGAGCAGGATCTGGGGTGGCCCAGGCCCAGCGAGCCTAAAGGGGGAGCCCAGGCTTTTCTGAGGAAGGGAGTGGCCACTGCATTGCGGAGGAAGCCTGAGGAGGGCACACACGTTTTAATTTAAATTTAAATGGTTTTCACCTCTTCTCCAAGTGATGACAAGCCTATAATTATTGTTTGTAATTAATCTTTTAACTTTTACTAGTATTCTGTCAATTTTTGTAATCTCAGTGGACACTGATTAGAACTTAACATATAATTATGTTTTGAAGCAGAAATGTTTAAGAAATAAAACTTCTACATTGTTGATAAGAAAATAACTAGGACACTACCACTTTTAATGAAAGACTTGTATAAAAGAGGGAGAGTTAATTATTTATGATCTGATTAATTAAGTTGTGAAAATGGCTGAAGCATTTGTCGAGTGAAAATGCCACCGATTTCTTTCTTACCTACAATATGCTTCATTAGCAACTGTTTTCCCCTCATGAGATCTTTAATTTCAGATAATAGCACTAGCATTTGAAAACAAGTATAACAAAATCCTTTACAAACAGGAAATATGTTTTCTACTGTTACAGATATGGCTTTGTAGAAGAAGAAGGACTGGACAAGACAATGGTAAATTTTGCTTCAGTACTTTTTTGGTGTTACCTTGCATTATTTATTTTCACTTTATTAGTCTGACATTTATGACCCCTTCCTGTGTTAAAATAAAATACAATAGGGACCACTTTTGAGAATTCCTTGAATAAACAAAGCCAGAGGGGTCATAAAAAACTTAGTTGTTTTTTTTTTTTGTAAATGGCTTCGATAATCATAAACAAAATTTAAGACACTTCCCAAAAATTGTGAAAAGTGATAACTTTAATCAATCTTCTGCCATTTGGAAACCTGCCTTTACAATCAATCAGTTTGTTTTCACTTTGTATATCTAATCCAGCCTGTAACTCCATGCTTCTAAGCTTCCTCTCACCACTTTGAGGTCTCTTTGTTTTACAACTCTGTGTGTGTGAGTGAGGAAACAGTCAACTAATTTTTTGACTTGGTGTGATTTATTCTTAACACTTGTATAGCCTGACTCTATAGGGCCAGAGACCCATAGGTAGGGAAAGATGAGTGACTCCCCCTTCCCCGCAGTTTAGACAGATTGTTGAACAGGCTTAACCACCTACGAAGAACTGACAGCCTGTGGTCACATTTCCTCTTTACGCTGTACCCTGCAAAGCTTGGTTTGCAAAAGTTAAAAGGAACAAAAGGAAACCTGCTCCAAAGACTCTTCCCCATCTTCCCTAGTAATGAGCCAATTAAAGGGCAATTAGGTATGGGCACCCTCATCCCAGAGATAGGATAAGCCCCCTACTACAATAAAGTAACACCGTGAGCCCACCTTCAACACTGGCTCTGTTTTAGGCACACCTGCCTTTCCCTCTGGGAGAAGGCACCTGTACTCTTGCATGCTTGCTGAATAAAAGTACAAAGTTTGTTTCTACACTTTTGATCTCTGATTCTTCTACAACCTTCTATGTGGTTGAGAGAGTCAGGCCTGGAATCACAGGGACTCTGCTTGTCTCTGCCCAGGACAACTCCATTCTGTGCAATGAACTGTTTTACCCATGTACCACGAGGTCATGGGCCAAGGGTGACCAGACAAAGGCTCCAATGCTATTCCCAGCAGTTCTCTTGGAAGAATCCCTTTTCATTATCCCTGCTTTGGTGAAGTTCTTTCATCTGTCTTAGCTGTTAAGCCTTGGCTTTCTTATTCATTATCTTCTCTGAGACCAAATATATCCCTTAAGGCCTTGGCTCAGTCCTGTCCCTGAGCTCAGAGCACCTATTTAGCCCACCTTGTCCCATCTCATCCCTTGGAGCCTATCCCACTGGTGTTTTGGCCCCATCCCATTCTGCAAATCTTTTATTAGTTCATCTGTTCATCCATTCAGCAAGTATTTATTGAATGTCTACTAAATCTGTAAGAGTAGCCTAAATTAAGAATTGTGGCATTAGCTAAATGGAAAAAGCTATGTCCAATATTTGAATATTGTTTATTCAAATTATTATACATACCAATTCCTTGCAATACTACATAACCATTAAAATAATGCAGTGGAGATGTTTTTATTAAATTGCAAAATGGTGGCTTTCTGGGTAGTTGGAGACTGTGCTGGCTACGCAATAATCAACCTCCCCAAATTTTGTCCCAAAGCAAATGGAACAGCTCTTTCACAGTTATAAAAATTCTATGCAAAGTGCACTCTCAGCACTGCTTAAAAAGAAGCTGCAAAATAACCAAGTTGAAGGAGAAAAATGACCAATTTACAGGGCTGCTCAAGCTCCTGGCTTACTCCTGCTCCATTACAGGCTTAATGGGAACAAAGGTTCCCTAAGAATCCCATGAGGAAGACAGCCGAGTAGTACTGGTGAGGGTCGAAGAGGAGAAGGGCAGAAGCAGCTCAGGAAGTGGATGCAGAAGGGAGCTGGGATGGAAATTATGGCATCAAAGTGGAAGCCATGTCAAAAGCATTAAACACGGCAAAAGGATGCTTTCGATGCTAAAATCAAGATCCACAGCACAAACATCAATATCTATCTCCCAAATATCACAGAAACCACTTTTATGACACAAAAGGGATCCATGTGAGGATGTGAGGATGCAAAGGCAGAACACACTGGTGACTGTAGAATCAACATTACTATAACCTAACACCAAGTGGAGTACAGAGCAGGGTGTATCTAAAACATAGTGTGCCACGCTGAAGGGTGGCTACTGAACTTGACGCCCTGATAATGAGCAGTGCCCACGTCACACTTACAGAAACCAGGAGCATATAAGGTTGCAAACAGAATGCT